TGCATCGGCTGTGGGGATGAAGACGACAACTCCCATGATTCCACACTCAGTCACGGCGTCATCAAACTACGCCTTTTTTTTTTTGTTTTATTTTGAATATGGGCCCTCTAGTGGCGAAAAATTGCATATTGTGCCTTTAAGTAGATTTTTCTGGTATCAGTACTTTACTTCAGTATTTATTTTTCTGACAACTTTTTACTTTCACTCCTTACATTTTTACACAAATATCTGTACTTTCTACTTACATTTTCAAACCAGGCTCGTTACTTTAGTTTTAATCTGTATTTTCACCATTCGATAATAAATCTCTAATAAATCATGAATCGGTTAGTCTGATTGATTCACTGATTCTCGTGCACTCCGCACCTCCGCCAAAAGGTTTTGATCACAGTAATCAGTGCGAGAGTCTCGAGAATGGAGAAGCAGAGAGGCAAAATGGCCAATCACAGCACACCTCACTTTTCAGACCGATGAGCTTTGTAAAAATCAACGCATTTCAAAAAGGCAGGGCATAGAGGAGAAACAATAATGTACAGTATGTGGAAAAGAATGTGTTTTTTTTACTTTTTTTTAAACACATTTCATTACACCAAATAATGTTCTTTTTAGCAGCATCATATGACCCCTTTAAATCCAGAGAAATAAGCAATTGTAACTAGTGACACGGACCGTGTCCATAGTGTCATTGTGTCGCCTGCCAATGCCGTCATAACCCCTCAATTTTTGGTTTTGTTTTGTAGAAAACATGGAAACACCAAAGAAGCTTTAATATGTTATACGTTTTATTAGACAGGTGACGACCTCACAGAGTAGCATTATAACAGAACTTTCAAACGTATCTAGTATGATAAAACAGTGCTGCTTTTTTCCCCCACATACTCACAACCGGAAAGAGCAGAAGGCATAATAAAAGCTCCACTGCTTTCGAGCCGTGTGTCACGCTCGTTCAGCGGCCTCGTTTCGCTTCGACGGCTTTCAGCCTCACCCTGCTTCGTTCTACTACGTTAATAAATCATTAGCTCATCCATGAACATGATTTCTGCCCGAGTCCCGTCGGATTGCATCGGCTGTGGGGATGAAGACGACAACTCCCATGATTCCACACTCAGTCACGGCGTCATCAAACTACGCCTTTTTTTTTTTGTTTTATTTTGAATATGGGCCCTCTAGTGGCGAAAAATTGCATATTGTGCCTTTAAGTAGATTTTTCTGGTATCAGTACTTTACTTCAGTATTTATTTTTCTGACAACTTTTTACTTTCACTCCTTACATTTTTACACAAATATCTGTACTTTCTACTTACATTTTCAAACCAGGCTCGTTACTTTAGTTTTAATCTGTATTTTCACCATTCGATAATAAATCTCTAATAAATCATGAATCGGTTAGTCTGATTGATTCACTGATTCTCGTGCACTCCGCACCTCCGCCAAAAGGTTTTGATCACAGTAATCAGTGCGAGAGTCTCGAGAATGGAGAAGCAGAGAGGCAAAACTACTGATCTGTTCAGGACTTCAAGTGCAGGCAGTTTCATCTGTAAATATGCTACTGTAATTTAGTTTTTGCTTACTTAGTTAAGCTGGGCCTGAATTTCGGCGCGGGTATTGCACATTATTCTGCACATTCCTGCAGGTTTCGCGTTTATAATGTGGGAAATTCTGGCAAATATTTTTTGCACTATAGCATGTAGGTTGAATCCAAACAGATTATCAGAGCAGTTCAGTCATTTTAAATCTTTCTCTGATATTTAATTTCACAAACAGTGTGAGTGATTCAGCAGTACAGCGTCCCCTCTCTCTCTCTCTCTCTCTCTCTCTAAATGCACAAATGGCCTCACATCCTATTTATGACAAAGAACGGCACAGATGCAGATATTATAACAATCTATCGATAAACACAGACCTTGTCCTCTGTTTCTCGCTCTGCGCCGCCGCGGTCTGTGGATTGAAAAAGAACGCGCTGAAAGACGGGGAGGAGCCGATCGAAGACTGCCGCCGTTTTCATATGAAATTTAAAGGGATCTGAGGCGATCACGAATTCGTGTACAGATTATGGAACTAATCGCAAAATTTTAGGGGGGCTGAGTAGTCATTTTAGGGGGGCAATAGCACAGCCCTATTAAAAGCCGTGTTCCATGTGGCCCTTTTATACTTTGAGCACCTGCCCCTCCAAAGGTCTCTGCACGGCCCTGAACTCACCTGCCCCTAGCCTAATCAGACCCTGATTAACTTGTTCAGGTGTATTTGATTAGGGATGCTGCGTTCACGCCATATCGTAGGGCCTAATAATTACCGTAATTAGTAATTACGAGATGAGATCTAGCTCTGACGCTTGTTGCGTGTGCGTTGCAGCAGCATGGGTTCATTGTGTTTTGATATAGGATGCGTTTGCAGTCCGCCGTTGTTCCGGGAGTCAGAACACATTGGTTGACCTATGTTTTAAGACGAACCGACTCGCTAAAATCATTCGTTCTGGAATCGGACAATCGATGGTCAAAGTAACCTAATAATGTAATCTATTAACTATGCATAAAAACCTGTCTGTTTACTTAATTAACAGAGATTGATGTCATACCATAACATTTTTAATACGACTGAGTTTATATTTAATGTGAATTTAACAGTGAAAGTTAATGTGAATACAAACATTGCAAGTTAGGCTACTAATCATAACACTTTCATTGTACAGAAAGAGAGCAAAGAACATTTACATTATCAAAGAACATTTTCACTGCTAGTTCAAGCACTCTCAAAAACTTCCATTAAAATCACTGAAGCTGTTTACACTATGAAATCGATGTCTTACAGATTCGTATACACATTTGCACGTTGTTGTTTCTAACGAGAGAATTCGCCAGAAAGAGGTATTCACGGTGCGTTCCAAACGGGATATTTGAGCCCGGTCTCATGAAAATGCGTATAAATAGTACGCCAAATAAAAACGAAAACTTGTGGAATTTATACGCAAAAATGGACTTTGGCGTGCATATCATTCGCATGTGTTTGGCGTGCATATAATACGCAGTTTCCGCGTGCATATGATACGAAATTTGTTGGCATGCATATGATAAGCAGTTTTCGCGTACATATGATACGCATCTACCCCACAACCCTAAACCTACCCATCGAGTAGCATATACACGCCAAAGTCCATTTTTGCGTATCAATACCACGAGTTTTCGTTTTTATTTGGCGTACTATTTATACGCACTTTCATGAGATTGGGTTGGATATATCGCCCTCCGAAGGGCACTTCGTAGTGAAAACAATCGTGGCCGCCATATTGAAGGGTCGTTCCAAACCGAAGTGCTCAAAACTGGGAAATTTTTTTTTGCCCAAAAAAATTCCACTTGGCGAAATCCACTTGGCTCAAAAATCTGAGGGGGCACGTGCCCCCTCACTTTGAATGGGCATGATACCTCTGCTGGAAGAGACAGGTGTTTTAGACATATTCAGTAAATAAATGTCTTATAGCTTACAGCTTAAGAAATAAGCAAATTAAAATGTAAAATGTACATAATTTACCCATTATATCCTAGTGCACAATCAAACCGAATTTACAGAACCTGTAAAGACTGCAAAAGGAGAAATAACTCACATAATGGATTAAGGGATGACGGATTTGCAAGAGCTTTGTTTGAAAAGCTGAATATGAAGCTTATTATGACTTTATTTGGAGGAAAAGGGATTTAAAGGTGTAGGCGCTGTCTGGACCCTTAGACTTCTGCTATTGAGCTGCATGTTCATTTTGTCACCAGAGTGATTTAATACAGCAGAAGCTAATCTGGCTCAAGTCAGAACTCTTGACTCTGTGCTGAAAGATTTCAGATCTACTAGACAGTTTCAACTGCCTGCAGAGCAATTTTCAGAGCACTATGAAAACTGACACAGCCTCCACTGGGAATCTGCATGGTGAAAATATACAGCAGAAACCATCTTATGATATTACTGTTTAAAGGTGAAAGTTTTTCTGTGTTACTTAGATGTGCAACTAAGAAAAACATTCATAGTTAGACTTACCAAAGAGTGTAAAATATTGATCAACCTCTCGTTCAACCAATGGTGTGTGTTTAGTGTGAGACTTTCTGTTGTTAAAAAAAAAAAAAAAGGCTGACCAGGCTGTTACCCAGCTGACAGAGAATGTTCTCAGCTTTGGCTAAAATTCTGGCAAGGTTATCTCAAAGTTCTGAATGTTATTCCAATAATGTTAATAGAATGTTAATTCAAAATTATCTGTTTTTTATTAATGTTCTCAAATGGTTAGCACAAATACGTTATTTATACATTGTTCATGGAACCTTTTGTAAATATTACGACTTT